TCTGAACGGCTGTCCTGGGCCTGGTCGGAGTAAAGAACCCCTCCACCTCTCAACCTCAACCTCAGGCATCTCCCCTCCCACCTCGCCACTGTCTTCTCACCAACTCAGTGTCCTGACTGCCTTTTGGTTGAACTTAACAGACCAGCTTCTTACCCTCTCTTGTCTTTCCTCTGAGTAAACCCTTATTTCAAGGTTTTGAAATGCACTAAATTAAGAGTTCTAAATTCTTTTGTTTTTTTATTATTACTTTTTGCCCATCCCGCATGGCATGTGGGCTCTTAGTTCTCTGACCGGGAATTGAACCAGTGCCCCCTGCACTGACAGCACAAAATCTTAACCACACTGGACCGCCAGAGAAGTCCTGAGAGTACTAAATTCTTGTCCCAACTTTTGAATTGTCTGTGTTACCATGGACTTATCATATCACCTTTTTCCCTCCATTACATAAGCGCAAAGGGATAAACCTGCATATCCTGCTTCTTAGTCTGACGAGCACTTTGAAAATTACTTTTAAAAATTCAAATTCAAGTCATTACACTTTGTTAGTTAAAATCCTAAGATACATACATTTCCTGGAATGGTTTGTGTGATTCCTAACAATTGGTAAGAATATATAGCAAAAGTCCAATTTCCAGTGATTGGGGAATAAAAGGATAGGAGCTGATTTTGTCTAAATTGTGAGCTCTGTTGAGTGTCGTAGTTTACACTTGGGTTGTGGAATTGGAACATTTAATGTGCATGGCCCATTCGGCATGAGGTGAAAGGGAGATCCTTTTGGAATGAGCAGCCTGACTACAGATGGTGATCAGGAGGGCAGAGCCTCGCGAAGTCACTCCAAATGCTGCCCTAGGTTCTCCACCCTCCAGCTTCATCAGGGTCAGAGATGGGGGTGGGGGGAGGGGTGGGGGGGGTGGGGATAAAGGCCTGGCGCTTTTGGACAGCAGCCAAGAATCACAGCCAAACTTTAAGCCTGAGATATGCTCTGATGATTTACGTACCACACAGTACGTACTGCATAGCACGGGGAACTCCACTCAATGCTCTGTAATTACCTAAATGGGAGGAAGTTCCCCAAAAGTGGGACTATATGTATACAGACGGATGATTCACTTTGCTATACAGTACTAACTAACATAATGCTGAAAAGCAACTAGACTCCAATAAAAATTAATTTTAAAAAGATACTTAGAACACAAACCTATAAGTGTTGCATGCAGTCTCATGTGTCCCTATTTTGATCAATAATATGCTTGGGACTTTCTGAAGTCACTTTTGTGTGCGTGATCTGCGGACAATAAAACTAAAAGCTGAAAATGGTTCAAGAAAAATACCATGTAATGAACTGATACATATGTGTGAATACTCATGATGTGCTGGAATCAGAGAAATGAGAGGTCAGTGCCAGAGAGGGAAATTGAGGGAGGACTTATGGAGAATTTGGCATCTGACTGAGAACCCTACTGCCTGACTTATTTTATTAACATAATTACACAGTTTTATTTTATTAATTGTATTATTAAAATTATTAAATATTAAAATTTATACTAAGAGTTGAATATATTTAAGAAAAAAGTGATAATGTATATCTCAGGTGAGTTCAACACTCATTTTGGTTATGGAATGCACCCACATTCTTTGTTCGTTATCTCAAGTGACTTGGGAAAAAGAACAATGACTTACTTATTTACAGAACAATTTGCTAGTGTTTGGAGAGCTGTGATTCTAGAACTTTACAAATGTTATCCTGTCAAATAAGTGGCAATTATCTGAATGCATCCCTGTGATCAGACTCCAGAATTCATACTTTTAGACACTGTACTAGGCTGCCTAGGTAAGGCCGCAGTGTCTGTCATTTTGTCATAGAACACTTTAGATTGTACATGTAGATCCAGAGATTGACTTTTAAAAGGCTTTTCTCCAAAATCATTATGGTTGGCCAGAGAATTCTTCTAATTGTCATAAAGGAAAATATGGCCAACTCTTAAAACTACAATGAGATACTACCTCACATCAGTCAAAATGACCACCATCAAAAAGTCTACAAACAATAAATGCTGGAGCGAATGTGGAGAAAAAGGAACCCTCCTACACTGTTGATGGGAATGTAAACTGGTATAACTACTATGGAGAACAGCAGGGAGTTTCCTTAAAAAAACTAAAAATAGAGCTATCATATGATCCAGCAATCCCACTCCTGGGCATACATCTGGAGAAAACCATTGTTGGAAAGGATACATACACCCCATTGTTCATCACAGCACTGTTTACAATAGCCAAGACATGGAGACAACTTAAATGTCCATTAACAGAGGACTGGATAAAGAAGGTGTGGTACATATATACACAATGGAATATTAATAATCCATTAAAAAGAATGTATAAGGCCATTTGCAGCAACATGGATGTACCTGGAGATTATGATACTAAGGGAAGTAAGTCAGAGAAAGTCATATATCTTACGATATTGCTTATATGCTGAATCTAGAAAAATGATACAAATGAACTTATTTACAAAACAGAAACACAGACTTAGAGAACCAACTTATGGTTACCAGGGGAAAGTGTGGGGGTGGGGGGAGGGATAGACTGAGTTTGGGATTGACATGCATATGCTGCTATATTTAAAATAGATAACTAACAAGGACCTACTGTTTAGCACAGGGAACTCAGCTCAATATTCTGTAATAACCTACATGGACAAAAAATTTGAAAAAGAACAGATAATTGGATAGATATAACTGAATCACTTTGCTATACACCTGTAGCTAACACATTGTTAATCAACTATACTCTGATATAAAATGAAAATTAAAAGAGGAAATACATCCAATTCTTGATTATCTATGTTAATGGAGGTGAACAGCATCATTGATAATCCAATATAGTTTGCAAAAATCACCTGGTGGTTGATTACATTACATTGCTTTAAAAATTATATGACATTTTAAAAGCTAATTATTACTATTTATGGACTTTTTAGAATTCAACATTTTTGGAGCATATTTGCTGTAGGATATGGGTGGTGGGAGAGACTGGGAAAAGATTCATCAGGATTGACTGTTGCTTCCCAGATGTAAATAACCAAACATTTGATGGGAGGAATAACTCAGTCATTTTACCTTAAGATAAAAGCTTAAGGCAGCTCCCACCTCACAGGTTGGAAGAGATGCAAGCTCACCTGAGGATGAAACTTATCATCCACGTCTTCTGCCCCCATGGAAAGTTGCTGTTTCATACTCCGGTTTTGTGAGCTTTATAAAAACTCTGGAATGCTGAGAGAATCCAACTATCTGGCAAAATAGAATCTTCTTTTGTACAGTTAAATCACAGGTGAAACACCCATACACAAAATGAGCATCAGAATAAGTGCTGGAAAAGATGAAATAACCAAAGCAAATATTCCTTTTTCTAGTGCTTCTCCTTCATAGTTATTGGGCGACAACCCCAAGCAGTAATGCATTTCCCTACACATATTAATTGGGACTAGGGCCTGAGGAATCTCGCATGGATGGCTAAGCATAGATAGTGTGCTGTTTAGACATTCCCAGCATTTATTTTCCCATCTTCTAGAAACATCATCTCAATTCTCCTTTAACAAACTCTCTCTCCCCTATGAGTACATGATTGAGGTGCTCTGGTGGGTAATATAAATCGATCAGACTCTTCTAGGAATTTGGATATTGAACAGAGTGGCTTTGAAATCAGAAACAGAGCTAATTCACCCCAAAACAGCTCCCCCAAAAGACTGCAAAGTTCCTGCAGGGTCACCCCCAGGGTGGCCTGCTCCTTAGTCTCACCAAGGCTTGGGCGTTCAGTGTCTCGATGGCTCACGTGATCTGACCTGGGTCATTCCTTTATGTTTGCTCAGGTAAGCCAGAGTTTTTTCTGTTACTTGCAAGCAGTGAGCCTAACCTGCAACAACCATGAAAACCAACAAATGAGACATGTTTGGGTGAAGTTGCCTAGGGGGCACTTTTAGAAAAATACCTTGAGCTTGGTCAGACTCAGCTAATCCAGGGCCTTATTTACCAAATGATTAAGCTGAGAGATTCAAGGACTTTTTCCAAGGTTTCAAATCAGAAGCCAGGTCTTCTGACACTTTCCGCCATCTTGCAAAACAGTGACAGTCTCTTCTGATAGGTTTGCTGGGGCACACAGGCGGGTAACTGATGCAAAATGCTACTTCAAAGACCCCTTCAATGAATTAATCAATGATTATTTATTGCAAGGCACTGTGCTAGGCACTATGGAGAGTACATGGAAGATAAGACCAAATTCCTGCCCTCAAGGAGCTTCCAATCTAGTTGGGAAGACAAGGCATACATACAAGGAAAACTAAGTAACAATACAGGAGTTGAGTTGAAATGCAAGATAACAGTGCAAGAGACTTCCAAAAGTAGTACCTGATTAAATTACTAAGTGAGGGCTATTGACAGGGCTTGCAGCTTATTCAGAGGAAGGAGGTCAGCGAGGGTTGGAAGGCTTCACAGACAAGCCGGGGCTGGAGCTACCCTAGAACAGTCAAGATCGGGGATTAAAGAAGAGTGGGGGTATTTCAAGAAGGGGCAGCCAGATGCCCAAAAGGCACAGAGGTGAGACCAAAAGCAAGTGGTGTTCAGAGGCCAGTGAGGGCTCTATGTGGCTGGGTATGGACTTAAGTTGTTATTAGATTAACAAGGGCCTCCGGTTTAGATTTTATCCTTTTAGCAATGGGATTGGGGGAAACCTTAAAACAACGGATGTCCTTAGATTAAGTGTAGAAAAGACTGAGTTAATCCAGAGGATCTACTCACGTTTGATCTTCAGGAGATTTATTTGTGGACTTTTGACCCTCTCTACTTCCAAAGAGGACCTGCAATGATGTTTTCTCTGGGTCTTCTAGGTAGGGATCATAGCCAGAGACTTTTGAGTCCCTCTAGGATCTTAAATTATAACTAGCACAATGGTGAGTGAACAGATTCCCTGACAGGCAGGCAGGAAAAATGCTCCCAAAAGACAAGTATCTTTACAAATGACAGAATATTTATTAACAATACCTTTAAAAAAAGATTACATATGCTAGATCACTGGTAAATATCATTAACACTGGGGTTGGGAACTACCTGGGGTGTTATTTTTTTTTTTCATTCATTTTATTATTTTGTTGATTTTTTTTTGTGTGTGTGTGATTTTAAATTTTGTCTTATTTCAACATAGAAGTAACCATATCAAACTAAGAAAGGAACACAGCTTGAAATACTGACAATATATTTTTTCCCAGTTACCACCCTAGTTTTTACACAAGTGGAATCCTGATTATGACTTTATTGGATAAATATAGCTAGAAGGTTGAAAAGTTAACTTATACTCTTTGTAAGCAAAAATGACAAATTACAAGCAAATTTGAGCTCTCTGAGAAAGAAGAAAAGGTGCAGCGTGTTTACAAGTGAAAATTTTTATAGAAAATTTCATTGCATTTTATTTGCACTGTTCCACTAGTGTCAACTTACAAAACCTCCCCCGTTATAACAAATAGTTCTTTTCATAAGAATACGGTTTTGTTGATATTGTCATTTTCCAATGCATGATTTTAAGACGTAGAAGATAAAGCTTATAAAGCAACAAGGCTACCTACTGCAAAACAGGAGACTCATCGAGATACCATACAGTTTTACTAAAGATCTCTTACAGAGTCATGAAAAAAATTATTTGTGGCAACTATTTGCTGAAATAGGAGAAATCTGCCAGACTCCTTACATAATTCTGATTTAAAAGCAGGGCTCTATCATTAAAGAGATACACATATTATCTATAAGAGATTTTGTAAAGAAGTTATGAATCCATCCACAGAGAATTACTCTTTTCTTTGTTAAATGTACATTCAAAACAGATACATTTAAAGATAGTAAAATTATTCTTTATCCTTTGAAAGACGTGGTTGACTATAGTAACTTTTGGTCTATGTTACTACAGGATATGTAACTTCCAGTGTCATGGCTAAGATAATGCTACTACAAAGACAAGGCTAACTTAGTCGAGGGAAAAGAAAGGCTTACCGTACGATGCTAAATTCAGGGGTGGGAGTACGGCACAAGGTGCCTCTCGGGCAGTTAGTTTAGGTTTTGAGATTGCGGCCATTCCTGAAATCATCTCAAGTTGTGTGGAACAACAAAATTCACAACAGGGCTGGAAAACATATTGTACAATGGCTAAATGACTTGATTGAGTGCGTCAGTCATCCCATGGGTCATTCCTACACGGCAGCCTTGAGTTACAGACTTATCCTTCAGCTGTGCTGCCTCTAGACCCTTGTAGAACTGTACAAGGAATCTGCAATGTATTGACCAAGGTGAGTTTCCAACTCTGTCTGTAAAGGAAATATTTTCAAATAATAATCATATGATTGTGTTGCCCATAGCATTTTACAGCAGAGGAAAAAATTAATATCTACATCTCATGTTAACTTTAAAAAATCCTATAAAACACTAAATATATAATAAAAAATATGCATATAAGGACATATGTAAACTGCTTTGGTAACATCATATTACAGATGTCTTCAGTGCATTGCAGAGTTTCCAAAGAAACTTCAGACAAAGCTAGATTTGCTTTGAGGAAGTACTGTAGAATGCCATTCCTAAAGAAGCAAAAAACATTTTTTTTTCCAGTAATAAGATGTACTTGAACAACAATATTACTTAGTACTGGGTGTCTTCAAAACAACTAGCTAAATGTTGCTTATATTATAAAGAGAAAGTCCTCCGGAGAACTGTTGTCATAAACTGGACCTTGCTGTGAGGGAGATCATGATGGTGCTGATGGCCGACAGCGTGCATGCATTTGAAGTGGACGGCCCGGCTCCTCTTGCATAGGCATCTGCAGAGAGAAGACATTCACTCAGCATCCACTTGCCCTGGCAACAAGGGAGGCAGGGCCCAGGGCTCTTGGAAATGGAAGAACTGTCTGAAGTCTATTGGAAATGACCATCTCTCTCTCTCTCTCTTTTTTTTTTTTAACCTTTTTCTTTTTGAGGTATAGCCAATTTTAAACTTTTTTTTTTTTTATATTGGGGTATAGCCTATTATGGGCTTCCCAGGTGGCACTAGTGGTAAAGAAGTCGCCTGCCAATGTAGGAGGTGTAAGAGACATGGGTTCGATCCATGGGTCAGGAAGATCCCCTGGAGGAGGGCATAGCAACCCACTCCAGTGTTCTTGCCTGGAGAATCCCATGGATAGAGGAGCCTAGCGGGCTACAGTCCATGGACTCACAAAGAGTCGGAAACAACTGAAGCGACTAAGCACAAGCCAATCAACAATACTGTGATAGTTTCAGGTGAACAATGAAGGGACTCAGCCATACATACAGATGTATCCATCCTCCCCACACTCCCCTCCCATCCAGGTTGCCACGTAACATTGATCTCTATGCTACACAGTGGACCTTGCTGGTTATCCATTTTAAATACAGCAGTGTATACAGGCAACCATAAATTTGTTCTCTGTGAGTCTCTTTCTGTTTTGTAAGTAAGTTCACTTGTATCAAGACCAACTCTTCTTGACTTTTTTAGTCTCTGTTCTATGACACCCTAGCTATGAACTTGGGAGCAGGGGTGTACATCTTTGGACCTCTATTTAAGTATTTGTTAAGGAAGGGTGTCCACATCTAACATGAGAAGAAACTTCAAAATGACTGCAAACACTACAGATAAATACTAGGATATCAATGATGCAGCAAAATAAACATTGATGTTCTCTTTCGAATTCAAGCTTTGTGCTGGGCACAGAGCCATATGACAATTTCTGCAAAAACTCTGAGAACCTCTGGTATGGTTATTACACAATTTAACAGATAAGGAAACTGGGGCTCAGAGAAAGAAGATAAGTCTAAGATTACCCCCTTAGTAAAGACCTGAATTGGGATTCCAACATATATATATCTAAATATACCAATTTTTTCCCAACAAAATAAGCTCAATGTTTTTAAAACTTTTCCTTATAAGTCTTATATTGTTTTCACAGTAAGAAATTATCAACAGTCATTTGAGTTTTATCAAGATTGTAAGATCTCTAACCACCAAAATGGAAAACCTCTTGAGAAAGAGACCATGTTTTATTCACAGCTACTGCCTTATCATCTAATCATTATAACAATAAAATTACTTCAAATATGTTTTTGTAATGAATTAAATCAAGAATTATCAATCTTAAAAAAAACTTCTTGAAATGATAAGCAAGTATGAAGTCAGATTTTAAGAAAGAGAGATAAATTAACCCCAAAACAAACTCCAATCTTGTGTTTTTTGTGGCCCGGAGATTACTTCCACATCTCACCATAGATCTGGTTCCTTTCAACAGAAGTTAGAGCCTCTTCTGAGATGTGGAAACCAATTCTCCCCAGTGTTTGCAAAGAAAAAAATGTGTTAGTATTTGCATGCAAAAGAGGTGTAGTAAATATAAACCTCATCTGGAAGATGACAAATTTCTCCTGAATCTGGAGCATGTTCTTGGAGCAGCCTGCATTTCCCACCAGAATCTATTCACTAACAGTAATAAGTGCTTATTCAGAAGAAGGGTGAAGTGACCAGTGAACACATTTTCTTTTCTGCTTTGAGGCATCCAAATTTGATAGATGCAGTTAAAACTAGTTGAGTGGATACTTCATTGTAACTTGATACAGCAAGGATACCAGAGTCTTTCCTCATCTGACAAATAATAAAATGGACACTGAACAAAGGGACTGATGCTCAGGACTCTGTAGCAAGGATTGTCCTTGATTTAAAATATCCAATCTCCATCAATGACTTGAAAGTTCCCATCTCCAGCCTTCACTGAACCCCTTACCTCTTGACTAGTAAATTCAAAAGCCAGTGAAAATCTACACTTAGATACCTAATGGCAATCTTATTTATTTTACTATTGTGGTAAGATACACAAAATGTAAAGGTTACCATTTTAACTATTTTAAAGTGTACAACTCAGTGGCCTTAAGTTCACTCCAATGTTGTGCAGCCAGGACCACATCTAGTTCTAGAACTTTTTCACCATCTGAAATGGAAACCTTGTACCCATTAAGCCACAATGAACACCAGTGGCCAGTCACTTTCAGTCACCAATCTGCCTCTGTGGATTTTCCTATTTTGCCTTTTTTTAAAAAAATTTTCAAATAAAATCATACAGCAAAAAATAATATGCTGTTGAGATAGTTGCAAACACAACTGAAAAATAGATTGTATTTGTCTGAAAAAAAAACATAAACTTCAACAGTCTTTGAAAACAAATATATTCTTGACTATATGTAGACATGTGTGCTTATGTACACGCTACATACACAAGTTCAAAATAAACAGTTTCAAGCTCAAAATATTTTTAGCCAAAGACATTAAATTATATTGTATCACTAGAGACAGGCTTCTAGAGCAATTTAAAGAACTCTTTTTCGCTTGTTCTTCCTAAGTCACACTTTTTAACTTTCTAACCTATAATGTGGCGGTTACTAGAGCTTTAAACCACCTGGGTCACATAGAAGATCCTGGGTGACTGATCTGTGGCTGCTTTAACCTCATTATTGATTGTCAAATGATTAAATCCTTATTACATCAGCCAAGACAGGTCAGACGGTTTTTTGCACAAAACTACCTGTGATTAGCAAATATCAGTTGTCTAAGGAAGGAGGATGGTATTATCCATTTTTATCATGTCTTTTTTTTTTTTATCATCTTTAATTTCATCTGAGCCCTGGCTCACCGGGAGGCTTAGGCAATAAGGCAGACAAGGAGAAGGGAGGGGAAAAAAAAAAGAGAGAGAGACGTTCTTACTTGATATCTTTGGAATTCGAATCTGTTCACTGCTGCTGCCATCTCCTCCATCACTGAATGGCTTAATTTCTATTATATAATCTTCATCAAAAGGCAAAGAAAGCTCCACCGACGTTTTGTTTGTTTCAATGACAGATGTGCTACTCTGTCGGCTCCATCTGTACAGGACCTGCCAACATGGGAAGAACAGGTGTCACCTGCTGTCCTCATAAAGGCCCCCCCGGGATGCAGCAGACATTTGTTTCCACCTCTGGGCACCAGTGAAATGTGGGGATGCTGAAGTTGTCAGGCTGCCCACATGCATTCGGAAGGCTCATTTATAGCAAGGGGCATGTCTGCAGCCACCATTTATTTCATAAGGAAAGAGTTGACAGGCTTGTGTGGCATGGAAGCATGGCTAGCATGAGCCTAACAACGTGCTCTGTGACCTCACATAACCTCTGGAGGCTCAGTTAAAACACTTGAAAAACCGGCTATACAGAGCTCAGCGACATATGAGGGTCTTTGGCATCAGAACAGATTTGGCTGCTGTGTGACCTTGGTCCACTTACTTTCCCACTCTGAGCCTCAATGCCCTCATCTGTAAAATGGGGACAATAATACCAACTTTCCTGGGAAGTCTTCAAGATTGCACAGGATTCAATAAAATAAAGGACTCAAAGAAAGCATGTAGGACATGGTATCTATGAAGTATTAAAGGAAACAAGAGACGCAAAGATAACTTGGCAAAGGTTAGAAGCAAAAATCAGGCATGATAAACTATCATTATTAATCCTTTGGAAAGAGGACATTTCAGCACAGAAAGAGCATCTCTGAAAGGCAAGGGCAGAAACCCCTTTTTCTCCCCCTCCCACTGGGAACCCTTTTAAAGCTACATAGAAAAGGGAGGGTGTTATAGGATCATTACTGTCACTCTCAAAGTGTCTGTAGCTCCTACAGTGTCACTCACACATCTTTGTTTAGCACTTTGGCTTCTGCTGGGCCAGAGTCTAGGCTGGTAGTTCACAGGATGAGATGGCTAACTAGCTTCCTCGAAAATACCCTCACCACCTGGCATTGCCTGCCCTGGTCATCAACAATCCCTATTAGGAACTAAAGATAAAGGTCCAGAGAGGTGTACCTGACTTTCTGGATATAACAACTGTGATGAGAACTGTCCCACAAGTGTTTTCTCTTTTCTCTGAGCCAGACACTCTATGGGCACAGCTATGCTTAGGGTGACAGCATCTGACAAGACAGGCACTATTATTTGTGCCCACAGATGAGGATACTGAGGCCCAGGGATATTGCAGAGCTGGTGAGTGACTAGATGAGGGTTTCTAAGCCCATGGTCTTCAACCACTATAACTCATCACTTCTCTTGATATTAAAAAAAAATAGGGCTGGGTGCCATGAATGGTTCCAGGTCTTGGTTGTATGTAGAAGCTCTTAGGGAACCTGGAAAAATAGCAATGCTCTAGTCCAGTGATCTCCAATCTTTTTGGTGCCAGGACCAGTTTCATGGAAGACAGTTTTCCCACAAATTAGGGGTGGAGGTGGGGGGTAGTTTCAGGATGATTCAAGTGTATTATATTTACTGTGCACTTTATTTCTATTTTTATTACATCAGCTCCACTTCAGATCGTCAGGCGTTAGAAAATGAGGTGGGGGAACCCTGCTAATAGGCCACCGTTTCTCAGCTGGGGTGGAGGGAGTGGAGGAGCAATTTTGTGCCCCGGGAGGGCATTTGGCGAATGTCCGCAGACATTTTTGGTTGTTATAATGGCTGCTGCTAGTGTTGTGAGTGCCTGGGTCCCCCTATAATACAGAGGGCAGTCCCCACAACAGAGAATCATCCAACTTGAAGTGGCATCAGTGAGGAGGCTGAGGAATCCCACTCTAGCCACTCCCCAGACCTCCCATGTCAGACTCCAGAGAAGAAGGGTCCAGGCCATGGTACGTTTTTAAAAAGATCTTCAGATGTTCATTCAGGGAATCATGAATGACATCAGGGTTCTCAAACCTAAGCTTGTATCAGAGTTGACTGGAGGGCCTCTTAAAGCATCTATCACTGGGCCCCACCTGAGTTTCTGATTTCATAGGTCTTAGTTGGGACTTGAAAAATCTGCATTTCTGACAAGTCCTCAGGTAAAACTGTTGCCTCTGGTCCAGGGGCCACACTTAGAGAACAGTAAGACTAGCTCATCTCTCCCTCAGACCCACTGCTGCCACTGGTTAGTACTTCTTGCAAACCTGTGCACTGGAGCCCGCCAGGCTCCTCTGTCCATGGGTTTACCAAGCAAGAACACTGAAGTGGGCTGCCATTTCCTTTTCCATGGGATCTTCCCAACCAAGGGATCAGACCAGGGATCAAGCCCAGGTTTCCTGCTTGACAGGTGGATTTTTTACATCTGAGCCACCTGGGAAGCCCCCTAAGACCCACTGTGAATTCTGATTTGCTGGGGTCAGAGACGTAGGGTCACTCTACTATTGCAAGAAAACCAAACCCAAGAGAAATGCATCAAATTCCCTTAAAATGGTTTAGATCCCATTTGTTTCCTGACATTTCATCACCTTTATTTATGTCTCTCTAATGCAAGGTGGAAAACACAATTTCCTTAGGGTGGAAAGATTCATAAGCGTCCCCCTTCCTTCTCAGGAGTTTCAGTTGTATCAAACTCAGCATCCACTCACTAATGATCAGGTTCAAATAAATCCCGAAGCGCATGCGGGACTGTCAGAGCATCTCATCACAGCCCTTCAGGAACATGGGCTGGCTGATGGGATGCAAGGGCACATCTGGCTTTGAGGAATAAATTGCTTCTTTGATTTACCTCTGGTCCTTGCCAGAGCACAGAGGATTCAACTAGTTTCAAATATAAATCCAAAAGAAACACTTAGAGGAAAAAACAGCCCTTTTCTCAGCACTGTTTACTAGCCATGTAACAGTGGGGGCTGAGCTGTGTGCATGCGTGCTCAGTCGCTTCAGTCGTGTCCAACTCTTTGCAGCCCCATGGATGGCAGCCCACCAGGCTCCTCTGTCCATGGGGATTCTCCAGGCAAGAACACTGGAGTCGGCTGCCCTCCTCCAGGGGATCTTCCCAACTCAGGGATCAAACCTGTGTCTCCTGTGGCTTATGCATTGCAGGCAGATCCTCTACCACTGGGCCACCGGAGAAGCCCTGGGAGCTGCAGTGGGAGCTAATAAAGGCCTGTAAAGCCTTTATACCATAGTGAGGCTCATTTCAGCTTTAGTTCTGCTGATTGACTTAAAGGCAGTGCTTACATTTCCTATAATCCACTGTGGAAGACAAGGAGAAAGAGTAAGTTCGTGGGAACAATGAAAATAAGATCAAATATTATTGAATGCTGATCATGAGTTTTAACATCATATACCTTGAGATAGGCACTATTATTATTCTGATTTTCTTTTTTGGCCACGCTGCATGTGGGATCTTAGTTACCTGACCAGGTATTGTACCTGCTCCCCCTGCACTGGAAGTGTGGAGTCTTAACTCCTGGATCATCACAGAAGTCCCTATTCTGATTTTAAAGATGAGGAGTCTGAGGCCTGGAGATGTTCAGCAATGTGCCCAGGATCTTACAGCCAGTAAGTGGGGGACACAGCATTCAAACTCTGGCAGGGTGGGTTCACAGCCTATATTCTTAACTAAGACCAGCTTGGCCACCACTGTGGACAAACTGCTTTCATTCTGTGGTCTCTATTTCCATGAACGCAAAACAAAGGGGGTTAGAGAGTAGAAGGCTCATGGCCCATAGGTTACATTTGGCTTGCACATTTTAACTATTTGGGCCTCGGTGGGTTTACTTTTTTTTAAAGTTAGACGTCACCACTTAAAACTACACATAGTTTTAAAACTACACACCAAGAAACTATACATAATAAAATTTTGGGTTCTATTAAAAACTGGAAGAGATAGCCGCATTGGTCTACATTCCTGTCTGGAAACAACTGGTTGGACCTTAGAACTTACTGCCTTTTCTGGACCATCACAAAGTCTATAGGTACCATGGTCTCCAACACGCCCTATTATGTCATGATGCTATGCATCTACCTCAGGACATCTGCACATCCTGGTCACTATTCTTGGAACACTCTCAGAGGGCTGCTTATCTCACTCCCTCCTTTTTTTATGACCAAACTGAAATGTCACCCCTTGATAAAGGCTTTCCCTGGGCTTTAACACCTCTCCTATCTATCCACTGTCTACTCCCTCCACTCTGAGTTATTTCTCTTGGTAGTACTTTATTGATCTATTTGTTTACTTCTGGCAGGGAAATAACTGAGGGGCTAAAAGGCAGGACTCTGGATCCATACTGCCTGTATTCCGAGTTCAGGTCAATATACTAGCTGTGTTAATAACACTATATCATGTACTTGGGTGGTGCTAAGAGAGTAGATCTCAATGTTCTCACCACAAACAAGAAATGGTAATTAAGTGATGGGATGGAGGCCTTAGCATATGCTATGGTGGTGATCATATTGCAATATATAAATGTATCAAATCAACATGTGTATATCTTAAATTTAAACAATATTATATGTCAATCATGTCTCAACAAATTAGTAAAAAGAATACTAGCTATATGAAGAAGGCAAGTTACTAAACTCTGTGCCATGAGTTATTTATCTATAAAACTGAGGCTAATAACTGCACCTGCTTCATGGGTTATTATAAAGTTAGAAAGAATTGGACCCGTACTTGGCACGTTTATTGATGATATTTTGTTGAAAGAATTAAGCCACCTTAATCCATTTACATAACCTGCCTGGCTCTGTAGACAGTTTACTTTGTGATACGGAAACCAGACACACTCTCTTTTTAGTTCAAGTGTCATAAAGTAGCTTGACAATTTGTGCTGAAACAGTATTTGGGGCCTTAAACTTCCTAAAGTTGAGTTCTTCTGTGGACTGTTTACCCAAGCAGAAAACCCACAGATCTAGACAATTTAGATAGAAAAACAAAAACACACACAGATATGTATGTAAAGTTTTTACAGAACTATATATCCTGAACGTTGACACTGTGTGTGTAGCATTTCAATATCTGTAACCAGGTATGCTGAGATCCCTTGGGATCTAAATGAGGATGCATGGGGAGTCTGGTTCCTCCAGTCCCAGCTCTAAAGAGAAGGGAAGGAACTGAATCGAATGGGAAGTCAAGCAGAAGTCAGAAAGGCGCCTTCCCACCTTATTACTCCTTCAGTCAGCACATGCAGCATTTCAAACTTCATACCCACCCATTAGTGATGCTTCCTAAGGCATGAAATTCCCACCCTGGAGGTGCCACTAGATATTTCATAGATGTAATTTAGATCTACAAGACACAGTGAATCAACATGAAAAAACTTATTGGGGGGGGGGATGGGGTGGCCTAAATCCATGGTTCTCCTTGTGCTGTGTTTTTATTATTTCCTGAGATTGTCCTTTCCTTGATTTCTGGATAGGTCTCTGTATCTTAAATTGTAATGTCTTTTTTGTTGCTTTTTTTATTTTAAATTAAGTCCGTGGTTGAACCCTTGTGATGAATATATGAAATAAATACATACTGGGTCTTTCTACCAAAATAAATAAATAAATAAATAATTTATATCATCTCATCTGATGCTCACACCTGCAAAAGTTCCATGCTATCCAGCTGTAATTTGTTCCAATGTTTTATTCTAGTTCTACAGGAGTAAAAATTCCCCAAATACTGTGGGAAGTCCCAGTTCTTTTCTGGGAGGTGACTACTTCCATGTCAGCCTTGTGCTGCTTGATTCCCGCAAAGCTGCCTGATTCTGTGCTGCACAGGGGAATCTTCTAGATGTCTGTAAAAGTGTCTGTTGAATTAAAAAATATATATATATATATATACATGTATGTATATATATGAAGGGCCTCCTTGGAAAAGTGCTAATAAGACAAGTTCATACGAGTTTCGGAGAGAGGGCAGGAAGACAAAGACGTAGTAACTAAATGATACTCATTTTTCAATTATTCTTCTGAAAATGCCTATAATCCTTTAGACCCAGCTCACTGAAGCAAACTTCAGCTTGTGTATGCATCTCTGCCCTGTGGAAGCTGATGGCACTCCAAGTCCCTTTATTCAACAGCCTTCGGTTTTCACATTTGTAAAATGAAGGGCTTCGGCTGGATGATCTCCGGGGTTTCCTGCCCAGCTAACATTTTGCTTGGTTCCCTGAAATTCTTTAGGCAGCTCCCTGCCGTTCAATTTTATTTCAGCAGCAGTTTCAACCTGAGCTTTAAGACCTAGTAAGAGCTTCTTTCATGGAACTCGTGCCCCTCCTCAGGGACTGCTAAAGCTTTGGGATTTTTATTGTGTTTCCTCTCTCCTGTTCTACTAGGTGACACTGGAAGCCGGGAGGAAGACTTTCTGTCTCCTGTATTTTTTTCCTTCTCTCCCTTGGTTTGGTTAAATTAATTCAGGCCAATCACATCTGCATATCTTTCGTGCTGTGTTCAAAGCCCCGGCAGTGTCAGCGTGGGTCAGAGCACTGTGAGAACTGTCTTCACTCCTGCCTCCTTTCTTTGCGTCGTCTCACTCCTTTCTCTCTCTTTGATCTTCCAGCCTCCCAAACCCCAGGCCTCTCTCAAGTTGGATAAAACTAGTCAGATGAACTCTTTCCAATTATTTCACACTAAGAGACTAATGATTTAGGAGTTCAGGAAATGAGGGCTCCCTTCTCATACCACTGTAGAGAATGCATCCTTGGCTGGAGAAATTATGGGGACCATTCAGGCTAGGTGCTCGTGAGGCCCACAGTCTGGGGATTCACAGTAAGTCATCAGCCAATTATAATTACCCAAGAGGATGGAAAGTACTTTTAAAAATCTGACAAATAGCGAGAGCTCTGGCCATCAGGGAAGGCTTCTCATCTCAGACCCGATTAAGGATAAGGATGTAAGAGGGGGCAGTCCCAAGGAGAAGGAATAGAGCCGTAAAGGCTTGGGGAAAATGAAGGCACTGGCAGATTTCTCCTTTAGCAAAAGAGAAATGCAGTCCCAGAGAGGTTACGTGATTTACCTGAAGTCACATACTGACTAGATGATTAAGACGTGGTTGTTTTTTGCTCTACTCTGTAAGACCCCTCTAGAAAGTTTCCTTTTAAAAAGGGATCCAGTGGAAGGTCTGTAGATCAGTTCTTAGGGAACATTTCCCTGCTGCAGAATACAAATCACTGTGCCTTGTAGACAAAGGAAAATGGTCCATAGAAGGGAAGGTTTCTGAATCCTCTAATCACATCACTCAAGGCTAACTGTGTCAACTCCCAGCCCTGGCTTCACACACTGTAACGAGCGCCTGCCAGCACTGTCAGTGCCCTGCTATCTTCAGCTCAGACCGAAAATGTCACAAAATAGCAGCATGCCGGCTTGATACATCCTGCTGACTAGTTCTGTTTGGCCTGTGTTGCCCCAAATACTGTTTAAAAGTGAAACAAAACAGGATACTTAAAATGCCTTTTAATTTTAATGACTGTGGCACTACAGCTACAATCAATTTCCTTTTCTAGTTTATTAAAGTCAGGCTAACATTTATAGGATCAGGTAAATTAATTTCCTAAAAAATTCTTGTGTATATGTGTACATCTATATCCATATCCACATGCACATATATGGGCTTCCTTAGTGGCTCAGTGGTAAAGAATCCACCTACCAAGCAGGAGATGAGGGTTCAATCCCTGGGTCAGGAAGATTCCCTGGAGAAGGAAATGGCAACCCACTCCAGTATTCTTGCCTGAGAAATCCCATGGACAGAGGAACCTGGCAGGCTACAGTCCAGAGGGTCGCAAAGAGTTGGACACGATTTGGTGACTAAACAACAACAGTATCTCCATAACAAAAGGGACATGAACAAAAATAATTAACCATTAGTAACACTGAGAAGTTACTACTGTTGATTAAAAATGTGATCAAGACAAGAACAAAACAAAACTGACTTTGGAGATATTAAAAATGTGGTTCTTCATGATTTTTTTATAGACCCATACACAGGGTCTTTAACTGCTTCTGGTGACTGTGCCTGAGACTGAAGTTTAGGTGATTCTCTCAATCCTGGCCAGTTGTCAGGGACCATTTATAAAACTCAGACCAAACCACTCTGGGGCAGAGATGGAGAAAGGAGGCTGTGAGAGCATCATCTGGGAAAGTGAGGACAGTGATCATAAGATTCACGAGAACAGTGTGCCCCCATTAACAGCAGGAGTATAGGTGCCTTAGCAAAAAAAGAAATTACCCACTTTGTATCCTTTTACTTCTGACTCATTATCCAGGGCCTTCACTTGATCCCAATTGAGGATAATTTTGGAGTCCGATGAATTCCATATGATGTTTCCAGGGGGTTGACTTGGCGCTATAAAAAAAATTAAGATATACGAAGTCACAGATTATTAAGTCTCAATGGATTCTGAGGAATATCTCCTTCCTAGAATTCGAGAGTGGAGGCAATTTAACGGGCTATTGCACTAATATGTGTCTTCAAGGTCACTAAAATCTGACGAGATACAGCGCTGCAAATGGAAAAAGATTCAGTTGGTCGCCTAACATTTATAGCTAAAAGAAGTAGCCCTTCCCAGTGAGGAGAAAACATTTATCTTTCTGTCCTCTAGAGCAATGAATTTTGCATGGTATTCGGGAAGGTTCAGTTAAAATGCTAAGGTAAATCTGAATCTCCATAATGATACCAATTAGTATGCAAATGATCACTGGGAGGTAGGGATGGGCAATGAACTTGGAATATGTTTGATGAATCCCTAAAATATTTCTGAGCAAGAATATTCTTACGCGGCTTTCTGGTTGTCACATTGACCGTCGCACTGGAGGGGCCTGTCCCAGCAGAATTATATGCCTTGACAGCTAAATGATACAGGGCACTGCCTTTTAAGTTGGTGATTTTTGTTGACGTCTGATTTCCTATTGTTCGTATTTTTCGAGCATTTTCTTCTTTGTCATCATGTCTCCAATATTTAACCTGAGAAAACACAAAGGAAGACCTTGGATGTCATACCTATTGGGGATATCGCCAATGTGATTTTTTTTTCATACAAGATTCTTAGGACGGTGTTAATTTTCTATACAGCAAGTCATAAGCAGAGCGTTCAGAACTAAGACCTTTGTGTGCACTGAGAAATAATTGGCAATAAAAAAAAGGCCCCCTCTTTGTTCTGAGCTTCAGAGTGAGACGGTAAATTGGCACAACCATTGTTGCTATTTCTCCCTCCCTGACCCCCACCTTGTTTTGAGGCCAAGTGATGCTGGGTGTATCAGAAATCAAAGTTCAATTTGCCAACCATCTTATATATGCTTAGACCTGCATGTGTTTAGACACAGATCTCTGTAATTCAGAAAGGACTAAGCTGACAGCAGAATGCTCAGTGCTTTCATTCATGCTCCTCTAGAAGCCATTGTTCTCTAAAACAAATGTCTTTACATGGAACTCGAGGTCTTTTTTTCCATCCGTCTGTGTTTGGAAAGTTCTCACTGAGGGGTAGAGACCCTTACCCAGAACCAAGGCACCCCTCTCTTGCTTACCTCATACCCTTGTATCCGACCTCTATTCTTCTCCATGGGGGAGGCCCAGAAAACTTCAATGTCTGTTGCAGAAAGACTTCTGGCAAAGATGCTGGCTGGTGGTTTGGTGGGTTCTGCAGATGAGTGTGGAAAAATTTACGACTCTATCAGCTATATCAAAATAGCCTTCTGGATACTGGCCTCATAGGTGCAAAGAATCCATTACTATAGACTAATCTTTACTGATCATGACCCAAATATTCACTTCACAGAGGACCCAGGATTAATGGCTGGGAGGGGGTGGTGATGGAGACAGTGCTGAAGAGAGCTGTTCAAAGTCTTTGTCTTCTAAATTTAGGGTTAAGTGGAAGGGAAATAAACCAGGAAACTGAAGTTTAAGAGCCAAGTTCTCCTAGCCAGCAATTTATTTACTATACATCCTTCTTAATTAGCATTTGTCACAGGTGAGAGTTCCACTCGCTGTTATGAAAATGAGAGAGAGAGAAAACAGGAGAATCAACTGATTTGACTAAGTTTCAGGAGGGCTGGGTGACAGTTCAGTTCTGCACCGCCATCTGTATGTCTTGGACAAGTCATTTATGCTTTCTGGGCCTCAGTATCCTCAGCTGTAAAGGAGAGTCGAGACCAAGTCTGTCCCCCACATTTCAGTTCTTTTTGCCAGATTTCTGCCAGAGCTATGTACCATTTTTGTGTGAAGGTTTTCCTTTCAGTGGTCTTTCTTAAGGAAAAGCTTAGGCATATTGTGAGCTGTAACTTCATGAAATTCTGGTTTTGATTTGATGGCTGTATTTTTTTATCTGATACAATTCAAACCAATATATAACTATCAGATATGTTTAAAGGTTCACCTAGAACCATTAACAGTAATTTGCGTGCTCCCTCTGAAATCCACATTATGTTCTAGAACATGCTGGAGGTGGAGGCCACTAAGGTTGTGTCTATTTATAATAATGTATTAGTCTGTCTGTGTGTTAATTCACTCAGTATTTATTAGGGGTCTGTGTGGCATACACACAGACACTGGTGACACAAAGGTGAAAAAATAAATATCTGGCCCTCAGGAAATACACCTTAGTGAGAATATAAAACTGTAATTCAAAACTTATAATACATTGAGATGAGAATTATAACAGAGGAATGTTAGGGTACAGGGACAAAGAGAAGCAACTCAGTCAGCTGGCCTAGGGAAATGAGAGGCCTTAGTTGTTCAAGTTGAATTTTGAAAGATAACTGTGAAAGCACAAAGTGGGCAAGGCAGAGAACATTAAGAGAAGCTGAAGCATATGCTAGGGGCTCAAGCTTCTTTGGATAACTGCAAATCCTCTGGCTATGGTTGGAGCATGGATCATGCAGGGAAGTGAAGCAGAAAAGAGAGGTGAGGGTGAGATCATGGAGAACTGCTGAGTCTAAGGGGCTGATTTCTCTTTCTGCACAGAACGGACTGCATCTTCATTTACTCCAAATCAATGACTCGACTTGGAACTGTTTTAATATGGTCTCATTCCAAACATCAGCTTTGAAACAATGAAGGTGAACGCCGATGGAAATGAAGACCATTATGCAAGGCATTCTAAGAGCGATGCTAGCACAGAGGCAGTAAAAATAAATGAGAACCCCTCAATGTGATAACACCAGGGGTGACAATGAGAACAATCACATTGCTTTGTGACTCTCTCTACTTAATAACAGAATAATTTTTGAGTATACTATGACATATGAAAAGTGGTAAGAGGAAATGCAAATTATATTTTGGCACTCACCTAAAGGTATAAAATATAATTCTGTTGAAAATAATATTATATATAAATGGAAGATCTTCTATAGTGCTTGTGATTTTGGTCCCTAGCAATGGAATTAATAATGGATATCCATTTGTTTTTATATATCATGGAGTTGCTGTCTTTCTAAGAGATTGGTGGAAGACAATGAAATGTATTTTTTCATACTACACTTTTCTCAAGTCAGGATACGCTTTCAATTTATGGGTAGGGCGCTAAAGTGACGGCACATCCTGAAATCAATATCTAGGGCTTCCCCTGTGGTCCAGTGGTTAGGAATCCGCTACAATACAGGGGACACTGGTTCGATCCCTGGTCCAGGAACACCCTACATGTGGGGTGTGTCGGGGGGCAGCTTAGCCGGGGCACCACAACTACTGAGTTTGTGCTCTGGAGCCCACCAGCCACAGTTACTGAGGCTAGGAGCAGCAACCACGGAAGGGAAGCCCTTGCACCCTAGAGCCCACGCTCAGCAAGAGAAGGCCACACACCTGCAGTGAGAAGCCCGCGCACCACATCCAGAGAGCTGCCCCTGTTCTCTGAACCTCGAGAGACCGCACGCAGCAACGAAGACCCAGAGCAGCCACAAGTAAACAAACAAATAAATAAAATCAACAGCTTGGAATTGAAGAAGCATCGTACCTTCTTCTGCAGAGTATACCACCGTGGTGGGACTGAAAGGGCCCTCTCCTTTATTGTTGAAGACACCCACTTTAACCTCAAAAGGAGAGAAGGGCCGCACGCTCTCATTCCTGAACACGTATCTGGAGGCGTCAGCGGAGGCCAGCACCGTCAGCATCCAGATCATTTTGCCGTAGGGTCGGAAGGCCACCACGTAACCAAAGCCCCTGCCGTTCTGTAACTCCTCAGGGACCGTCTGGGAAAGAAGGGAGGCGGTCTTCAGAGACCGCACTTGATTCAAGTGCCACCTGTTTTATTCCACCACCACCCACACCCCCATCCTGCCTCCATCCTATCTCATCGTGGGCTTTGCAGAGAGTCTTCGGTTTGGGACTCGCCATCCATCTAGCTTTGATATTCAGTGGGGACTGCAGCAGGAGTTTAAAAAAATCACTGTAACCCTGCAGTGGAGAGCCTGGCTTCCTGACGTGGGAGACCCAACTCTGAAAGTGTTGGAAGTGACGGTGGGAGACACTGGGCAGTTGATCTAAAAACCAACATTTCCAACATGTACCATCCGACACGATTCTTCCTCCAGCGTCACACAGACACTCAATGAAGCAGCTCTCACCAAAGAAGTGAAGACCATTTTGCTCAGCCCCAATCTTCCCTCTCAGCTCAGAAGTGCTGAGCAGGAAAGGGTGAGTGGTTTATCTCACTGCTGGGGCTTTGGTTAAATGGACAGATTTGAACTTCCAGGCTTGTTGTCTAGAATCCTTCAGAAACATTTAGAACGCTTGCTGAGGCTCTGACTTCCTCTCTCAAAATCGATTTTCAATAAATGACTGACTAATAAACCTCTATGTTTTTTTTAAAAAATAACCTTACACAAGAGGGCTCTAGCAGCAAAGTCAACCCTAGGAAATTGTGTTGGCACACGCAGTCTAATGAGCACAGAGGTTTTAGATCAATTGGCTTTGAAGTAATTCAGGAAAAAAGGAAAAAAACTGGTTTTGTCTAAGCCAGATTTCTTTAATGTATAATATTACACACACTTCTTTTCTTGTCTTGTCTTCCCTTTCATGATTGTTTTTTCTGTGATGAACTGAATTAAAACTTAACTCCATAATCGATGGGCAAACATCATCTCTTCCTGCTGACCTAAGGGAGTGTCTGCACTCAAACGGCCTTTAGTTGTTAAAAACAAAGGAGGAAACTTCCTAGATATGTTTAACACAGAATAAAATGACAAGACAGCCTGGACTAATGTGTTTTGCTGTTGTTTCATGATTCATTTACCTCCCACGTTATAACCAGTTCAGATTTGCTGCCTCCACCACCACTGACGTTAGCTGGGGTGACTTCGGGGACTGTTGAGGAGACAAAAACAAGTCGTGTCAGGTGACAAAGACCAGGAGGGCCAAGAGGGCGGCTGGGCTGAGGTGACCCAGTCTAACAAATACTTGGATGTGCAGGGCTTTGTTTTCTGAGGTCAGAAATGGTATGATCAAGGGGGTCTAAAGCATCAGTTCACAGAAATGAAATACACCAAGGAAACGGATATTCCATAGTGACCTATTTCCCATTCAACAAGGCACACCTATTATCTGACAAGACAGAACAATGGTTCAGCTCCACCCTTAGAGGCCGAGGTTCAGGGGGATGAGAAAAGGACTGAGGTTCTGGTTCTAATGCTCGGGTAGGCGTTTATTAACCGCACGGCAATACACGAAGGAGAGACAATACACTCTGTCCGTGCAGAGTTTACAGTCTAGCTGGGAGGCAGGAGCACATGCAGGATGATTACAGGGCGATGGCGACAACCACAATAGCGCAGCAGAGACAGAATGGAGGCGTGCAGCGGCCTTCGGCAGCGCGGGCTGCTCAGAGCAGGGCTGGGCTAATGGCTTCTCGGAGCAACGTGAGCTGTGAGCTGGGTGTTGAAGGAAGTGGTGGACAGAGGTTGACCTCTGGCTCACTGTGCTTAAACTCTTTGATCCCCAGTTTTCTCTGTAAAAGAGGGGAAATTTGGCTAGCTTTCTCCTCAGGACTGCTGAGAGGAATTAATTAAATTATGATTTCACAGTGGGGGAAGGAAGCATGGGGATTATTGGCTTATCATCATGTAAGTGAACAACTCCAGACAGAATCTGAAAATGTCTGGCTGGGGTAGAGATGTGGTGCCTGGGTATGTCCCCTTGGATAAAGACAATGAAACAAATCTAGATGGATTTGTGTCCAAGAGTAGGGTCAGAGGTCCCATTTGCTCTGGGGCTTTGCTCTTTCTTCAACAAACGCAGGGGATGAGATGGTCAGATAGCATCACGGACTCAACGGACATGAGTTTGAGCAAACTCCGGGAGATGGTGAAGGACAGGGAAGATTGGTGTGTGGCAGTTCATGGGGTCACAAAGAGTCAGACGTGAGTGAGCGACTGTATAACAATAGTGACAAACACTGGTCTCATCACGGTTGGGACCTTCTCAGACACCCACACCTAGGCCTTCCACACCATGTGAGACAAAGACAAGGAATGCTGATGAATTTATACTATTCTCTCCCTGTGTTCACCCAAGGTGTGTCTACAGAAGTTCCTACTAAACTGTTGATTGGGCTTGCTTGAATTAGCAGGAAGGAAACGGCAACCCATTCCAGTATCCTTGCCTGGAAAATCCCATGGCTAGAGGAACCTGGCAGGCTGCAGGCCACAGGGTTGCAGAGTCGGGCACAACTGAGCGACTAACACTTTTATTTCCCAACCTTAGCTTTTGGGAAGGGTTTATGCCCTAAGATAATCTGACTGGACATTTCTGAAGAACTTAATCTTTGTCACTTGAGATTCCTGTGAGTTGATAGCATTTGAAGTGTGGTTGAGCCTTTAAAAAAATAATAATCCTAGTAGGAAAGTCTTGGTGACAAAGCAACCAATGAAGAAAGACATGGCATTTGAGGGAACTAAGACAAGTGTCTCTCCCTGGGCCAGGGAACCCAATGAAGAGTGAGAATATAACCCGAGATTGAAACTAGTGCTGGGACTCATGGAAAGAGAAAAAGAACAAACCAGTGGTTAGCAGTGGGGACAGAAGTTGGGGAGGGATGTTGTAAGGGTAGGGAAGTATGGGGTACAAATCATTAGGTACAAAATAAGGTACAAGGATACATCATAAAACATAGGGAATATAGTCAATAGTTTATAATAAGTATAAATGGAGTGTAACCTTTAAAAACTGTGATTCACCAAACTGTACACCTCTAACTTGTATAATATTGTACATCAAATATACTTCAACAAAAATAAATAAATAAAAACAACAATAGAAAAGATACTCCCTGCTGGTTAATAAGCTGAGCATCTACTGGCCTCATTTCTGATGACTACAGTCATTGTAGGGAAGGATGTGTTAACATAGAACCTCATTGGGGCTGAAGAACAGGGTGATTAAAAGCCTCTCCCTAAGGAGCAGGAGTTGCTGTTTTCGGAGTGCTACTCACGGGCCTCTTCTGTTCTCCGCTTCTCCGAGGGCCGGCTGGGCTCCCCAATCCCAATCACGTTGGCTGCAACTGTGCGGAATTCATACTCGACCCAGGGGTTCAGACCCACCACAGTGGCTGTGAATGTCTTCCCATCAATGAGTTCTGGGACTGAAAGACATCGAAAGAAAGTGAAATAGTTGATTTTACTACTTGCCCCAATTTAAGAAAAAGTATTGGTGATTGTGATTCAAAATTATATGTAATAAAATATTGACTAAAAGGAATTCAAAATTATATGCCATCAACTTTAGTTATTACAAGGTTAAAAAAAAAGGTGAGGATGTTTCATAGTATTCTGCGTTAGGAAGATTGGAACTTAGCTCATCACCATCATCACCGTCACTGTAACCGGGGTACCACCACAGGTCGAGGGCAGCTGCACAAACTGCCGTTACACGGAGGTCATCCCAGAGCATCCGCGCCAGACCAATCAACTCAAATCTCACACCAGCAGATGACGCCACAAAAGACAGTCTCCAAGGCTCAAGGCTACCTGACGGTAATCACTCTTATCCTCTCTCACCTCACGTTTCTCGGTAGTTACTGAATAGGACTGGGCACATTGTTTAATTCTTACAACTACCCTAGGAATAATGTAAAATTATTCTCTTCATTTTTATAGATGCGGAAAAGGTACCACATAAAGGTCAAATGACTCACCCAAGTGGATTTGTATCTTTGACCACATGGCCCAAGCTCCATTATAATAACAACGGAGTAATAATGTTATAGATCCAAACTACTGTCAATGAGTTGTATTAGTACATCGAAAGAAAGAAGCTGCAAATGTAGAATGGACGGTCCATGAAGAACAGAAAAAGTGGGATCAGAGAGGCAGCATTTGACAGTGTTCATTCAACAGGATGTGGGGACGGCCTCCTCCACAGAGGACGGGGCTCACTGCCTGAAGTCACAAGCCACAGAGCCCTGGACTTGGCTTCTACACTCACTGTGCAACCTTTTGGGTTTTGAACTGATTACCATAAAGATTTCCCAAAGGGCCCAGGGGATGTCCCTGTGACAAACCTGAGGCCCCACTGACCAGACTTTAGTGACTTCCAGCCTCCTAGGGAGCACATGTATACAGTCCTTCCCTCCAAAGGTGAAAAGTGTGGGCTCTGGAGTCAGACAACCTGGATTCTAATCCTGAATCCACTCTTAGCAGCCAAAGAACCTTAGGGAAGTTGCTTAACCTTTCCATGGCTTGGTTTTCTCACTGTGAAGTAAAACTAATAACATCTATTCACAGTGCAGTTGAGCAGACCCAAGAAAAGCACTTAGATAAGGGCTCAACCAATTCTAGCTGTACATGTTTTCTTTTATATACTGTCCTTATCATTGTTATGAAACTTGAATATCAATATCTTCATCCCCCTCCTTTCCTTCATCATATTTATGCAGTGATTTACTTTTTTTTTTTTATAAGTTTCACAATCACTTCTGTACAGGGTCATAACAGTTCTTATTTTGCCCATTTAACAGAAGAGGAAAATAAAGATGTATAGAAATCTGCTGATTAGCAGAGTCAGGATTAGAAGTCATATCTCCATAATTTCCAGATTTTCCTTTCCTTTCTTCCTATAACACTCCCATGACCCAGGAGAAAGTCAGTGATTCAGCTGGAAACACAGAAACCCATTTCTGAGGTCAGATACGCTTAAATGGAAAAACCAGAGGAGTGTGCAACATGCTTACAATAACTACTTGTTTGTTTTTTTCCTCAAACAAAACCTAAATAAAATAACAAAATGAGTCAGTTCAGAAGTATAGACAGGAGCAGAAATGGTAGGCCTACTCACATATTCTTTAACAAAACCTCATGCCTCTTCATACTCAAATGTATCCATCTAAAAAAATGACAGCAAGTCAAGAGTCTCCATGCAGTCCTTAGATACAGGTTTCTTGAATGCTGGGTACAAACTTTACAAAGACTGTGACTACAGGGTAACACCATCCACTGCTTTTCGAAGTGCACCACTGGAGGTACACAGACGATTTCAGGTAATGCACAGACAGACGATGCATTTTATTTTTATAACAAATGTAATATAAAATATGTTTAAAAAATAAAACCAACAGAAGACCTTGTCGGCTTGTCTCAAAGCTCAGTCGGTAAAGAATCTGCTTGTAATGCAGGAGACTAGGGTTTGATTCCTGGGTCAGGAAGATCCTCTGGAGAAGGAAATGGCAACCCACTCCAGTATTCTCACTTGGAGAACCCGATGGACAGAGGAGCTTTGCAGGCTACAGTCCATGAGGTCGCAAGAGTCCGACATGACTTACCAACTAAACCACCACCAACGCCAAGACCTAACATCATTTTAGACACTGTGGCTTAGAACAAATTAAAGAACAAGCAAATGTGAATCAGTAGAAAGAAAAATATTAAATAAATGATGGTATAGTGGGCTGAGGTCTGGGAAACGCTGCCCAAAAGTCTCATCTGTAGCCATGTGTTTGGACAGGAAACAAGAGGCCGCTCAGCATCTGCTACACAGCTGTGTCCGTTCTGCTGAGTTCCCGAAGCCCCAGGGAGACACCAGAGTCAGAGATTCAATACAGTACCTGTGTTGACTGCTTGCCAGCCCACGGAGAATGGAGTCCTGGCTTGAATGACATACATGGTGATGGGGCTGTGGTTGTCAGGCCCAGGTCTCCAGGAGAGCTGAGCCGTGGTGTCTGTAATTTCATCTATAGTCACGGCCTCTGGGGGCCCTGGAGGACCTGAGAAAGAGCAAGACCCTCAGAAGTGGAGCAGTGTGTTCAAACGTCCAAGGAAGTGACCACTTGGTTGAACGGTCAACATTCTATTCAACTGTTGATTCATCCACCCCCAAGTTCAACACTTGACAACTCCTTTCTAAATACCTGTGAGGTGCCTGTCTTCCTTCTAGGTTCTGAAACTACATAGATGAGTGAAACATGGTCTGGGCTCTTTCCTCCAGGGGTTCACTACAGAATAGGAAAAACTAATAGGTACCCAACAATTACAATAGAATATTTTTTTCCAGATGCCAAAGGAGAATATTGGGGTGCTACCAGGGACCAAGTTCATTAATCCACCCATCATATATTTACAGGTTCCTACTATGAATTGGACACTGATATCTGGGGATACAGTGGTGATAAATGAAGATCTGAGTCTTCTGGAGGTGGTCATTTCTACCCCTGATGGTGTGAGCAAAAATGACTTTAGAACTTTGGGGTCACAGAGTTTTTCTGCATAGTCCAGCTGCACTGGGATGTCCACATCAAATGCCAAAACACAGTCATGTGCAAGGGAACTGCTGTGAAAAGTGCTCATGTTCAGGAAACCAAACTCTGTGGCTTCTTCAAAAAAATTTCAAAATCGGGTTGGCGCCTGAGGACCCACATCTGCAATTTCTGTAAGTCACACCTATATTTTTCTACTTCTGCTCTGGATGTGCACAGAGCACTGTGCTTAGACCACTGAAATGGGAGGAAATCAGTTTTAAATGAAGGCTTGCAGAGAGATGGAAACAGAGAGCTGGAAAGTGGTTGGCAAGCAAACACAAAATAACACAGAGCTGGATCAAAGACCCAAAGCTGTCCTAGATTCCAATATGAAAAGCTCTTAGCAGGCAGTTAAAGGCATTTCTAATGAGTGACCACCTTGGCAGAGAAATCGAATGCGAGGGAGGGAGACAGAGCGACAAAGTTCCTGTGTGTTAGATAGGAGTAAGGAGATCTTCCTAGGGGGCAGAGGGATGTGCTGAGGCCCAGGAGAGTGATCAGATGTTCTGCCAAAATACTCCGGGGGGGCACGGCACAGGGGCAGGGAAGAAAGAGACCTTTCCCAGAGTGCTGAAAAGTTAATGGCAGTTTCTGCAAGTAACACTTTGTTCTGGGATTCACTTCTGCACCCTTTCAGTGATGCCCTAAATTTCTCTTTCCTTTTTTAAAAAGCCTTTTTTATAGACCCACAGGTGAGACTAAATTTATCATCTCCCTCCTACTCCTGAATGAAAGGTCTGCAAGTCTGCATGCTGGCACTGATTAATTTTCCACAGTGACATTTCGGCACGTCAGTCTAATGCCACCTAGATAAGAGCTGGCATAACCTCTGGTCTTCAGGACTCTTATTAACCACAGAAAGTCCAGAAGATAATAATATAATTTTCTTTTTCCTCATCAGCTTTCTTATTTGAAAACATCCTTTTTAAAAACAGATGTTCCTTCCATGGCCTTTAGGATCAAAGTGCCACAAAGGAGAAAAGCATTCCTCTCCAAATCCCTCAGTGAATTCAGTGGACGGGGGAAGAGCTGAGCCCACTCTTGGCAACCAGCAGGAGCACGTGAAGGAGGTGGCCTGAACTTGGCCGCTGGAGATAAGATGTACTTTCACAGTGGGGTTTGCTGTTTGTTATGTGTTTGCTACCCGCCCCACCCAAGGGTAGATACGTTCACACCTCACAGAATGTTTTTACCCATTTGTTTTGGGGAAGTTGGGTCTCTCTTTCAAAACGACAACATGAGCATATGTTTATCCTCTAAGCAGAGTGTTTACACGGGCTGGGGCTCACACGAGTTTGTGTCACAGGTAATAGCAGGGGGATGCAGGTGTTCCTGCATCTTTCTCAGGGAAGACTGGCCTTTCTAGCTGCTGTCCATGTGCTTTAGATTAAATAAAGTAGATAACAGAGAAACAACGAAGCCAAATGCAAGACTTCAAGCCTTTAGTTTCAAATACAAAAATCCCTGGCAGGTCAACGAAGTACATATCTGCCTCTCCACTGCAAAGTGCAGAAAAGCTGCCAAGGGCAGAGGCAGGAGGAGATAAAACCGAAGATTATGGCTTAAAATGGCATATTAATTTATTGGCCTTATTTACTGATTATGCTAGATTTTCTTTTAGACAGCATTTGCAGATTCCTCTTGGTGTTTAATGTTATTTTCTGTGAAATGAAGTACACAATATCACTTAAGAAATTCAACTATTACTGATTTACATTTTTATGATTCTAATTTATTGGCGCTTAAACTGCTGATCTGAACATTATCCTAATTAAATAGAGGATACATTTTCAGCCACAGAATTCCTTCGCCCCCAAGGGAAGAGCAGACCAGCTCTGGTGTATTTTAAAATGGAAATAAACACGGTGCCCTTGGTTATTCTCTGGGTAGCTGCACCCAGATTGGAAGCTTTTTCTCTTATCTGGCCCTTATCCGTACCATTACAGAAAGGTTTTTAAGGCAATTTAAAGAAGAATCAAAGTAGACCCGATGGAAAAGATATCTTTCTTTAACCTCTCTTGACATCAGTTTGAATTGCTAACTCCCACACCTCTCCCACCCCCGCCCATGCTACGTGCAGAGGATGCAGCCACACTTTTTATTGCTTCCAGTAACATCTTGTTCTCTGTGCACTCAGATTTACCCTGCCTCCAAATCTGGTATCACCTGGATTTTTGTTTTCTTACACTTAATATTCTGCTGGCCAGATTCCTAAACATTTGTATTAGTGTTCAGCTGGATGTTTTGGATCATTAAATCACTTACTGTATTGTAAGTCCCCTACACACGGACCTTCATGTTGCAAACTTTCATAGATGCAGATATGTTCCATCAACGTCAGGTATGAATGACGTTATGCCCTTCCCCTCCTATTGCTGACGATCCTTTAGCTCCACCATCCCCCACCTCTTTTCCCTCCTCCAATCAATAACTCCTCTTGCCTGTTCATTCATTGCAGCCCCTACACGCCGACTACTGTACTGTACTACTGTACTTTTCAAGGTATGTACTGTAAGATTAAAAATGTTTCCTTTATTTTTTGTGTTTGTGTTTTATGTGAAAAGTATTATTAACCTGGTGCTGTACAGTACTAGATAGCCGACTGTGTTAGTTGAGTAAGTTAACTTGGTTGGACTTACGAACAAACTGGACTTAAACATGCTCTCAGAACTAAACTCATTTGTATGTAGGGGGCTTACTGTACTTGTGAAGGAGACACTGGCTAAGAAATTATTTTGATGTTCTGATTTGGCTTTGCATTTAACTTGATCAAACCTCTGAGCAAGCATCAGTTTGATTCTGATATAGATAGATAGATAGATAGATACATAGATAGATATACTGGTTCACAAAGACTGAATGTTAATTTTAAAATATTTCTTGAAGTTCACTTACTGTCTCTTTACACGTTGGTTTGGTAGGACACAGTCAGCCACGTCACTCACAGCCATGAGGCTGAAGTTAGGTCTCGTCCGTAAGATGCAAGAGAATCTCACACATGTCGGTTCTGACATCAACTCCCTGCTGATTTACTACAACCTGGGCAGTCAGGAGGTATTTCCTTCTAAAGCCATATTGTAGAAACTGGACAGAACTAATCACTTAAGGGGGAAAAACCTGGGGAAAATTGGTGGCGATTTTACTTAAGCCACTCTTAGATCAGTGATCTAAGATACCAATTTGGTTCAGCCTAGACAAACTGCAAAAGGCACAGTGTGATCCTTCTTTAAGCCATTTTCTTTTCTTAATCTACAGTTTTTCTCGAAGGTCCTATCAACTCCAACACTGTAAATCATGGCACTTGGGGCCTTCAGAGGAGTTCTTTTCAGTAGAGAGTAAGTGGATTTGCTCTGCACTTTCTGATCCCCTATGAGAGAAAACAGATGTACACAAAACTTCTGTAGACTCTTAACACCGTTAACAATGTTTTCCTTCTATTGACTCTTTCCTGGTAATTCTAAACCACTGAGGCTTTTAGAACAGGAGTAGATATCACAAAAGTATTTTAAGAATGAAACTCCCAATTCCCATACCTCTCACGATCAGGTCGGCAGCGGCAGACAGCCTGTCGACACTTGTTTGGACCATGCAGACATATTTCCCAGCATGCTTCAGCTGGATGTTTCGGATCATCAAATCACCAGCTGAATCCTGCTGATAAAGTAGGGGAAAGTGGCTACAATTACTTTTTAATGAGCTCTAAATATCATTATCACACGAAGGACACTGTAACTAATAGATTTATTTTACACTGGCTGATGAAAACATTAGCGATGCAAGCCATGGCCTATTAAAAATGCGTGAGCCTGCCTGTTAGGTAAAAACAGCAAGGTACTCAGGACACAGCTCGGATAAGACCTCAGGCGTCTGGCCTCTGCGTCTCTGGAGCAGTTTGTCACCCACGTTGGAAGTACTGAAACTGTTTATTTTTTCAGATGCATTTATTTATTTTAAAATGTTTTTATTTTATATTAGAGTATAGCCCATTAACAATACTGTGACAGTTTCAGAACAGCGAAGAGACTGTCATACATATGCATACATCCATTCTCCCCTAGGTGGCGCTAGTGGTAAAGGACCCGCCTGGTAATGCCGCAGACATAAGAGACTTGGGTTCAAATCTCTACGTCGGGAAGTTCCCCTGGAGGAGGGATGACAACCCACTCCAGGATTCTGGCCTGGAGAATCTCATGGACAGAGGAGCCTAATGGGCTACAGACCATAGGTCCACAAAGAGTCAGGCATAATTGAAGCGATTTAGCATGCATTCGCCCTCAAACTCCCCTCCCATCCTGGCTGCCACGCAACATTGAGGAGAGTTCCCTTGGAAGCACTGAAATGTATGTAAAGTGGCTGCTGATTTAGTCCCGTGGGTTTCTTCAGATATGCCCTCAACCTACAGCTTTTGATGGCACTGCAGTACTTGGGAACTCTTTGTATGGAAAGCGGAGGCAAGTCCATGTTCGGAGGCACTTGTATTTTACTGCACAACCCTGTCTTACAGCCAGCATTCTGATTGCTCCTCAGTTTGAATTAAAGAATTATGAGGAGCAGACTCTCCAAGGAAATCTTGCATCCCCTAGTGTAGAACGGGGCTAATTTGCTTTCCAGTGCCAAATGTGTGTTTGATCAGCAGATGAATAGCACTCATTACAGCCTGGTATAGATATCGAGGTGCCCTAGAAATATTTATACACCATTTACCAGCACAGTACTTTTAGTAAATGTGAGAAGATGCTGCTACAGGCCATCACAAAGCTGGCAATTAAACTGAAAAACACAGCAACACCTTAGAGTTTCATAGCTCTGTTAATCAAACGTTTGGAGAACGGCTGCTTGTGCAAGAGAACACCCTAGGGTTCAGAGTCAGGAAGCGATGCTTATTTCTAAATCATGAAGGATGGCAAGGTAACATAGGTTATTTGGGCCCTATTGTTATTCTTTCAGATGGCAATAACATTGGATAATACTTGGTGGTATTTAATATCTGGCAGGCATGTATTATACTGAGTACTGACATGTCCTGTGAGGTAGGCACTTTTGCTATCCCTACTATACAGATGAGGAAACTCAGGCACAGAAAGGCTAGACATTTCGCCTGGAGTCACCTAGCTGGTCAGTGGCAGAGCCAGGCTGTGAGCTCACATGGTCAGGCTGCAGTCCCTATCCTTTACTAGAATGCTGTGCTGTCGTCTGGAAAGATCTTATTCTAAATTAATGTGTACTTGGCTTCATCCTTGATTTCAGTACAACATATTACATATTTAGTCAAGGCAATGAAAGATATAGACCTGCCAATAGTTACAAATAGGGTTAGAAGAAGTGCAAAAGCATGTTGTCAAGAGAGAGCTGAAGCTTTGAAACTTAGCTGTCTGGGGCTGATCCTTGCTGTGTGTCTCTGGGCCTTAGTTTATTAACCCATGAAAGAAGGATGCATTGTCTATGACACTAGCTTGTGAGAAGCAGATGAGATTGTATGTGTATATGAAATCCTGAAAACTGTAAAGCACGGGTAAATTTAAACTAGTATTGGGGGTGGCCATGGACAGTATTCTTTGGGAAAAATTATGTCAAAAATATTAAATCTAATTCAAGAAGAGTTGTGTTTTTCTTTTTAAACCTGGAATCTTTTTTTTTAAATCTATAACACTTGGATTCTCATTTAGATTCTACTATTTACTCATGAAATCTTCTAATTGCTAGTAAAATAGGATAATTGCTACCATATTTCACAGAGATTCTGAGGATTAAAGAGCTGATACATATGAAAATGCTTGATAAATGATTAGACATTTTGCAAGTATAAGGTATCATCATTACCATGGCTATTAATACTACTTTACCTAAGACATTTCACATAGTAGGATTTTGAGCATAGACTTAAACAAAAAATATGCCTCATAAGGGAGTGTGTGTTGTGAAGGTACAAAGTCATAGTGGTTTAAAATAAATAGCTACACTATATCAATAATTTGTTTTATTCACCAAGGGCTGGAAGCTCAAAGAAGCTAGTGGTAGCCTGGAAATTTTGGAGCACAGATATCCATTAACAGAATTTTGTGACTGTGTGGTTTGGAGGTAAGAGGCTCACAGAAGGAGACCACAATAACTTTCTCTTTCCCTTTGAAGTCATTCAGACCACACTGTTTACTGAGATCTACATTCACATTCCTACCATAGAGAACCACACAAAGCTGTGGTCTGCTCTGCTCCTGACAGAACCACTGGAGGTGACCAGAGGACAATGAAATTATAACTCTTCTAAAAACTGCAATCGGTTAGCTCTACCAAAAGTCATTTGCAGCATACTGACCTGGCAAGTAGAAACTGCAAAATGGGCTTAACTTCAGAATTGCTCCCTTACCTCTTCTGTTGTCCAGCGCCAACTCCACAGACATTAATGATCCTGGTGGCTAACACACTTAGCTCTCACAATTTGCAATGATGTCCCAAATGTCGCACTTAATTCTTTAGCAATGACTGATTGGCACTTAGTACTGGCATCACAAAAGAGACAAACACGTGCCATACGAAAGGCTGTTGAGAGCGATTCCATGGACAGAGGTCGTTACAAAAGGTGGTCCTCAGTGCCCGACTCCATCGGGGGCCTCTCTACCCACCTTTCTGTGGTTCAGCATAAGGTTCACTTCTGTCTTACTGGCAGAATTTATATTTTGATAGCCCAGGCAGCTGTTCTGATTGGTTGTTGCCTATGCCATCCTGAGAATATTTTTATTATCTCTCCTGCCCAAGACACTGGTTTTACTATGAACATAAATATTCTGTTTAATCCATGAAGGTTTTCTCAATGTATACTCTCATGTTATTAGAACTATTATTACTCTTCCTTCAGTGAATACAATCATTAAAATTCCTCACATACTATTTTCGGTGGTAGGCACTGTGCTATTTAGGTTTCTAAACCTGAAGGTATTTAGTATCCTCAATGATGTTGTGAAATAGCTAATATCATTCTTTATTTGGTCAAGGTTATTAGGCTGAACTATATCAAAGTGGTCCAGAGTGGTTAATAATGGCAATTCTAACCAGTTTTCTCAACCAGAGTTCCAAGGGAATCAATAGACTCAAGTCTTCCATTGACTTAATGAAATAACTTCTCTCTCATCCATTTAAAATGGTACCAGTCATATACAATCCTTGGGAGGCCTGAGAAAATAGTTACAGAAATTATTTTGGGTGTTTGGTAATTCGGTAGAGATGTATTGTTTGGAAAAGGCAGAAAGAATGCAAATAATAGGAATAGCATCATATTTGAGAAGAATATGTTGAGGGTCAAAATATCATATGTATAATTTATAAGCTTTAGTTCATTTATTCTCAATGTAAGAGATGGGGATAAGATGAGATGGGCAAATCAGATTCCTTTTGGAGCATGGAGGAAGGGAGTGTTTTCAACACAGCCTCATGCTTATATTCTGCTGTCTTTGATTAGTCCTCTCCATGATAATGGCAGCTGGAATGAATCTGTTTTAAAATTTGGATTGGAGTAGAGTTCATTTACAAGGCTGTGTTTACTTGCAGCAAAGTGAATCAGCTATGCATGCATATATCCACTCTTTTTTAGATTTTCTTCCCATATAAGACATTAGAGAGTACTGAGTAGACTTCCCTGTTCTATATAGTAGGTCCTTATTAGTTATCTATTTTATATATAGTAGTGTTTTACATATAGTAGTTATATTTTATATATAGCAGTGTGTATATGGCAATCCCAATCTCCCAATATATTTCTTCCCCCTGGAATCTTCATTACTAACAGGAAAGTAGGGCTATGTTATGGTAGAAAAACTATCCTTGAAAATGATTGTCATAGATTCAAACTGTTTCCAAATCTAATGTTTTCTTGGTGTGAGTTCAATGGTACTATGTATTTTTTATGGGAAATAATTAAGGCCTTTGGAAAACTCAATCACTAGAATTCAAATTATTTGGAGATAATAAACAATCTGATCAGACTTTCAGATTCAAGAAAGAGAGCCCTAACCTCACAATGATGAGTATTCTACAAGAGCCAAAGGGAGTTTTGCCAGCAGTCTAAAAGCATACGAGTAAACTGTCCTCGAGCTATTTTATTAATTCAGTTCCGTGGCATATGGTTCACCATGGGGCAGAGGAATTTGGGATTTGAAGTTTCAAGCTGAGACCTGCAGTTTATTAGCAATCAGGCCAAGGCAAGCCATGTATCTCCCATGACCCTGAGTTTTCTCATTCATGTACAGATGCGAATAGCTAACCTGTAGGGTTAAGGATTATGAGGGTTAAGAAAAGGACTGGCAAACAAATGACTCAATAAGCAGGGCCACACTTATGCAAAAAAGAGCAGACGTTAACCAAGAGTTTTTTAAAGTGTTTGAGCAAAATCATCAAAGGATAACTTTATATTTCCTTTCAAGTTAGTCTACACAAGTTGTTTTGACTCACTTTAGGGGCACATTGCATTTACTGTGGATAATCTGATATTTATACTTACCCCTCCAACTCTTTCAAAGTGGTCCCCATCTCGGTCAAAGTCTATCAGGCGTCCATTAAATGACCAAGTGAATATGATGTTGAGTGAGTGATCGTGTGTTACCTGGCATGGCAGAACAATACTTTCTCCAACAGTGACATCCATACTAGAAGGAGGTACCATTACCTTTGTTGGATCTAGAGAGTGAAAACAAAACAGAACAACAAAGCCTATGAGCAAAAGTAGAAATAAAATGTAGAATTCAAGGGCAGGATGAAATACTAAGGAGTTTGGCTTTATTTTTTTCTTAGGCTACACCCGGCAAGCCTTAGTCATCTGGGAAGCTCAGATTCGAGCCAGGAGGTCATTTTTAATATGAAAAGATGAAAACACTCATAATGTGAACCTTCACAGAGCAACTGAACTCAGCTGGGGAGGGCTGAGGTTACATCTCCTAAGACAGTTCTGGAGGGGCCTACTTCTGCAGCCTGCTCTGAAACTGCCTCTTCAAAGAGGTTTTCATATCTCCCTAGTTTCACTAGAAAGCTGAGTGCAAGCAGGAAAATCCATGCTAATTGGAAGCTTTCTTTTTTCTACTATAAAAGTGATACCTGTTTAGTATAGGAAATTCAGAAAATTCAGGGAAGTTGAAAGAAGGCACCAAAGCCAAACAAAATTATGCTTAGTTTCTTAGTGTTCGGATAAAATTCCTATTTTCATTTTAGTATAATTTCTCCCTGTCTTTTGGATTCATAGATTTTCAGTTCTTTTGTTTTGCAGTATAGCAAACATGCTACATATATGATATTTCTCTTTTTTCTCTACTTAAATATAATACAGGCTTATATTTTATCCACAAATTTTTATAACCTGCATGATAGGCTGTTAATTGTTTCAACCATTTTGAAACTAGTAAATATTTTAGTAAATTTATTATAATTATAAATAATGCTATAATGAATATCTCTGACAAAATGGTATATATATATGTAGGTATAGCTTACTTCTTATTCAAGAGTAGTTGATTTACAGTGTTGTTTCAAATGAAATGTTAGTTTCAAATATATAGCAAAGTGATTCAGCTATACACATATTTTCTTTCTCAGATTCTTTCCCACTATTATTACAAGATACAGAATAGAGCTCCCTGTGCTATACTGTAAGACCCTGTTGTTTATTTTATATACAGCAGTGTGTATATGTTCCTTCCAAATTCCCAAGGTATCCCTCTCCACCCTTCCCCTTTGGTAATGATAAGACTGTTTTCTATGTCTGTAGGTCTTTCTGTTTTGTTCAGTTCAGTTCAGTCACTCAGTCATGTCTGACTCTTTGCGACCCCATGAACCGCAGCACACCAGGCCTCCCTATCCCTAAACAACTCCCAGAGTCTACCCAAACCCATGTCCATTGAGTCAGTGATGCCATCCAATCATCTCATCCTCTGTCATCCCCTTCTCCTCCTGCCCTCAATCTTTCTCAGCATCAGGGTCTTTTCCAGTGAGTCTGGTCTTCGTATCAGGTGGCCAGAGTATTGGAGTTTCAGCTTCAGGATCAGTCCTTCCAATGAACACCCAGGACTGATCTCCTTTAGGACAGACTGGTTGTATCTCCTTGCAGTCCAAGGGACTCTCAAGAGCCTTCTTCAGCAGCACAGTTCAAAAGCATCAATTCTTTGGTGCTCAGCTTTCGTTCTAGTGCAACTCTCACATCCATACATGACTAATGGAAAAACCATAGCCTTGGCCAGATGGACCTTTGTGGACAAAGCAATGTCTCTGCTTTGTCATATGCTGCCTAGGTTGATCATAACTTTCCTACCAAGGAGTAAGTGTCTTTTAATTTCATGCTTGCAATCACCATCTANAGATGAGTGCAATTGTGTGGCAGTTTGAGCATTCTTTGGGATTGCCTTTCTTAGGGATTGGAGTGAAAACTGACCTTTTCCAGTCCTTTGGCCATTGCTGAGTTCTCCAAATTTGCTGGCATATTGAGTGCAGCACTTTCACAGAATCATCTTTTAGGATTTGAAATAGCTTAACTGGAATTTATCACCTCCACTAGCTCTGTTCATAGTGATGCTTCCTAAGGCCCACTTGACTTCACATTCCAGGATGTCTGGCTCTAGGTGAGTGATAACATCATCATGATTATCTGGGTTGTGAAGATCTTTTTTGTACAGTTCCTCTGTGTATTCTTGCCACATCTTCTTAATATCTTCTGCTTCTGTTAGGTCCATCCCATTTCTGTACTTTATTGCACTCATCTTTACATGAAATGTTCCCTTGGTACCTCTAATTTTCTTAAAGAGATCTCTAGTCTTTCCCATTCTATTGCTTTCCTGTATTTCTTTGCATTGATCGCTGAGGAAGGCTTTCTTATCTCTCCCTGCTATTCTTTGGAATTCTGGATTCAAATGGGAATATCTTCCCTTTTCTCCTTTGCTTTTATTTCTCTTCTTTTCACAGCTATTTGTAAGGCCTACTCAGACAGCCATTTTGGGTTTTTGCATTTATTTTTCTTGGGAATGGTCTTGCTCCCTGTCTCCTATACAATGTCATGAACCTCCATCCACAGTTCATCAGGCACTCTATCAGATCTAGTCCCTTAAATCTATTTCTCACTTCCACTGTATAGTCATAAGGGATTTGATTTAGGTCTGGTCTGTTTTGTAAATAAGTTCATTTGTAGGATTTTTTTAGATTCCAAGCATAAGTGATATTTTTCTCTGTGTAACTTTACTTCACTCATATATCACTTTTTAAAAATGAGAACTACTGATTTGTTTTTAAATTCACCCTTTACATTATAGTTTTAATTGGGAATGAAATGGACTTGCTCAGCCAAGATAGTTTATGAACCCTAAAACTACTTTCACACATAGATAGTCTCTACTTTCTCACTGACATAGGATTTCATAACTGATGTCAGAGAGTAAAATGGTGAAAAGCAATGTGAATTAAATTGAAAGGTCATGTAAGTGCCTACAGAGTGAATTTATGAATTCAGCCATATTCCTGAAATTTCTCTATACTGAACCTTAAAGTCAAACAAAACCAACCAAACACACCACAATAAAAAAGAGAAATCAAAAGCAAAGAGAGACGGTAAAAGAATGATGACTAATCCCCTTCCACATTCACAGGATTGTGTTTCACAGGCTGTGCAGCACATAAACATTTACTGAATGTACCTCCTAGATTACAATCTCAGCTGAGAATTTTGTAACGGAGTCTCTTTCCAACAACCCACTCACTAAAATTTCCTCTTTAAAGAGTACCCAAAACAGTACTTTCTACCCTTTTATCCTACTTCGGAAAGCAAACATCTCAGGTCGTTAAAGAAGGAGTCTGTGTCCATCTGAACTGAGTCAGTTCAGTTCACTCATTCAGTCATGTCCAACTCTTTGTGACCCCATGGACTGCAGCATGCCAGGCTTCCCTGTCCATCACCAACTCCCGGAGCTTGCCCAAACTCAAGTCCATCGAGTCAGTGATGCCATCCAACTATCTCATCCTCTGTCGTCCCCTTCTCCTTCTGCCTTCAGTCTTTCCCAGCATCCATAAATGGATTCTAATCTAGTGGAGGAATATACTTTTGCTGTTTTCTGAAAATAGGTAAAGCTCAGGACGAGTGGATTGGTGTGCTCTTGGTGATTTCACGGTGTACATGAAATCAGAAGTGAAAAACAGGTACTTCTAGCTAAGAGTTTTTTGCCTGGAGAACTCCATGGATAGAGGAGCCTAGTGGGCTACAGTCCAGGGGGCTGCAAAGAGTTGGACGCAACTGAGAGATTAACACACACACTAGCTAAGAGATAATGGGAAGGACAACTGCTTATTTCAAAACCTGGGGCTTCTGCAAGTCACATAATCAAAATCTACTATTGATTAACTGACCCACAGGAAAAGGTACAGACAGAGATTTTTTTAATGAAGGAAGGAGTTAAGAATAAATCACCTTTGAATGACGCTAAGCAGAAAACCTAGAAATAACTCCATTTCACTTAATGTGTCATTTATCATTTTTTAATTTAAAAATTCATCTATAAAATGAAGCCTGGAACACATAATTCCTGGACAAAATTATATGCATCTCTGGTTTGTATTTGGCATGATGTCATCTTATTCTATTTTAAATGGCTGTCCACTGATTTTGCAATTTAGATTTTCATTTTAATGTACCTTCATTCATTTGTGGATCTATCTACCAAGCAATCTTTATGTATTATATGGATAACAGTGTCCTAGTACCAAGAGAGCTGTGACAAAACTTTTTCATAAAAACTGAGGGACTTCCCCGGCGGTCCAGTGGTTAAGAACTGGCCTTATAATGCAGGGGACGCAGGTTTGATCTCTGGTTTAAAAACTAAGATCCCACATGCCACAAGGCAACTACTGAGCCTGTGTGCTCCAGAGCCCACACACAACTAGAGAGTCCATGCACCATTATGAAAGATCCTATGTGCCACAGCTAAGACCAAAAGCAGCCAAATAAATAAATGCTTGTGCTTGGTAACTCATTCTTGTCTGACTCTGAGACCTGGCTCCTCCATCCAAAGTTTTCAGGCAAGAATACTGGAGCAGGTTGCCATCTCCTCCTCTGAGAGGATCTCCTCGACCCAGGGAATGAACCCGCATCTCTTGCGTCTCCTGCATTGGCAGGTGGATTCTTTACCACTAGCGCCACCTGGGAAGCCCAAATAAATCAACAAAGAAAAACAAAAAACCAAAAACTGAGTCTAACTCCTAATTAAAAAACTAAACTAACAAACAGAGTCTAACTAACTAAAAAACTAACTGTTCACATTCTAGATACCATGTTATATGCTTGACATGGATTGTTTCATTTATTTTTAACAAATACATACTATTATTCCTATTTAACAGATGAGGGAAACTGATGCCTACCAGTGGTTAAGGAACTATCTGTTGTGCTAAGCTGTCTCCCTTCATTTAGCTAAAAACATGATATATCCATTCATAAATGATCCAGGGAACAAGGCTGAGGGCATAATACAGCAATCTACACTCTTGATTATGTGTAGTCAGCCAAAGACATTAAACGCAGAAGAAATTCAGAGACGGCCGTGGGGTGAAGATGGTTTCAGAGGGCTTTACTGCAAGATGAATGAAGTTACTGTCTTAGGTAAAAAGCAGTGGTGATTTTATACCTCAAATGCTGGCTCTACCTATAAGCT